CATTAAAGGGAGGGGACCTGGGCTGAGATGCATAATTGGGGATTGTCAGCATAGCGATGATACCTAAACCCAAACTGACAGATGACCTCGCCCAGCAGTTTCACATGCAGTTAAACACCTATTGTGGGCTTTCACTCATACTGCACTTGGTCAGATTCAAGAGTTGCTGGGAGTCGGGCACGTATAAATTATTATTGTTGTTGTTGTTGGTTGCACAGTCAGCCAGATGTTTAGACTGGATGTGGCATTTTTAACCACCTATCGAGTCCTTCCCAAGGACGTTGTTATTCTTGTTGTTATCATCATCCACTCTTTGTTTTCCTCAGTTTTCCTCTTCTGGTGCTTCACCTCCAGAACCTCCTCAGAAAATCCATGGGCCATCTCGGGTGGGTGCACAGCGACAGGCGCCATGGGAGCAAGCCAACCCAAAGCCACGATGCCCGTTCCGGTTTGTGACCAAGGGCTCGGTCAACCCACCCATGAGTTACTTGGGAACACTCCCGGCCTCCCTCAGGAACCCCAAGGGGTCCATTAGTGCCTGGGGCGGGCTGAACTGATAGGTCTCAGCTCCCCACAATGGGAAGGGGTGGCCCTGGAGAGCCGAAAGGCAATCAGAGTGACCTGATCAGGGCAATGTGATATTCTCACTCCCAGAACACGCTGCAACTACCCGAGACAAAATCCAGGTCTAGAAGACAAAGCCTGGGATCAGTTGAACTCTCATTGACTTGAGTCTGGTCCATGGTTGCCATGGTGGCCAAGAGCTCCTGGGCCACCCCAGACTCCATGCCAACTGGGGGCAGGTTGAAGTCCCAAGAACTGGACCTTGGAGACCCCGCTGCCAGCCCACTGACAAAATCCGGCAAATCAGGCAGGGAAGTTCCTGAGCAGCAGGGAGGCCAGTACAGCCGCAGTCAACCCAACCCTTCCCTAGAGCCCAAGTTCACCACAGGGCCTCACATTTGGTTATCTGGGGTACACAGCCTCTGAAAACCATCAAGGTTTCAAACCTGAACAGCCACCCCACCCATCCTGCCCTGGGCTCATGGTCAGTGCTCAACCCAGCTGGGCAGATCGCTGAGAGTATATAAGCCGGGTCACGGCGATATGTCATTCAGCTGCCTCGTCCACCATCAGATCGTGGATGAAAGCGGCCCTTCGCAGCATTGCCAGAGATGCCCTCTTTTCGTCCTCATGCCGTCTGTCCAGCAGGCATAGCCTTAAAATCAAATATTTTGAGTATCTTGATTTTTAAAAAAAAAAACTGGACTGTTTTCACATCAGTAATCGTTCAAACATTCATGCATTGTGACCTTGCAAATTGTCTGCTTCTTTCTCTCTCTTGTCCATCAACAGACTTAACAGCCTAGATTTATGTTATTTATTTTATTTCCTGATTCCAGCAATTGGCCTCAATCCATCCCCTTCAAACCCATGGCCGCTGGAGTCTGTAGATCATGTGACTTGCCATACGCATCTAGGGTGAAGTTTGAAAGTGTGTCATTGTCGATTCTGTATTACTGTCAGCAAATGTTCTTGAAAATGAAGATTTGCTGGAAAAATATTGTAATTGAAAAACTAGTCTTTCTGATGCTGGAAAAAGGAATTTCGTACACAGGTAGGCCTAAGTACATTTCTCTGCAGTTTTTCACTGTCATTTTTTGTCACGGATGCCCAGAAAGTTAAGCAGTTAGTGTGTCCTCCTTCCCAACTGCCGGGGTCCTCCTTTGCCCGGGCAGATATCTCTGACAGCCCTAGTCTCTTGACACACCAGCTTGGCATCCAATAACAGCAGTGGGAGCCTGGGGCTACCAGGGCTCTGATGCCCTGGGCTCAGGGGGGAATAGTGAGGGTGGAACAGGTCTCAAGCACTGGCCCGCTGGCCCCAGGAGCGTGCCACCTTCTGCCCGGCCTGACCGCGACGGACCGCCTGCCCGGCCTTCCTCCTCCTCCTCCTCCTCCTCCTCGACTCCTCCCAGCCCCACCCGTCGCCCAGGCCAATCGCCCTCATCCAATCGCCCTCACGCCCACAGCAAACCAGGGTCACCCCGCCGCCCGTCCATTCCCCCCCTCCCCAGCACAGGGGGGGTTGGACCCTGGAAGCAGCCCGGCGGGGCGGTGGGGCAGCAAGAGCCTCACCTGGGCTTAGGGGGCAGAGGGCCAGAACCGGCAGCCCCAGCTCCCTCCAGCGGCCACCCGGACGCCGCTCGCCCGGCTTCCCGGGAGTCGAAAGTCCGCCGACGCGCCCCTGCCCGGAAGAGAGGACTCTGGTCCTTG